TTAGATGGGCAATTTCGTTATTTGAACACAATTTTGCCCATCACTTCTCTATCAAAGTGTTGCAAATATTCTCCCAGTGTATAATTGCAGAGGAAAACATGAATTCACATACAAAAGTAATAGAAAAGATGCATTTATTCCTAAGTATAATACAATACATACAAATACAAGTCTTAATAATACATTAAACAGTATTTTGTTCTCTTAAACATCATTACAAGTGTCTATACATTTAAAATACTTTGAATAATCTATATTTTCTCAATCAATTTTGTCCTTTCTTTTATTACTCTATCAACACTATACTATGTACAATAAAGATACAAGTCCCAATTACATCAAACAGTATTTTCTTCTCTTAAATATTATTACAAGTGTCTATACATTTAAAATACTTTGAATAATCTATATTGTCTCAATCAATTTTGTCCTTTCTTTTATTACTCTATCAACACTATACTATGTACAATAAAGATACAAGTCCCAAGTACATTAACCAGTATTTTCTTCTCTTAAATATTATTACAAGGTTTCTGTACTTTTAAAATACTTTGAATAATCTACATTGTTTCAATCAATTTTGTCCTTTCTTTTATTACTCTATCAACACTATACTATGTACAATAAAGATACAAGTTCCAAGTACATCAAACAGTATTTTCTTCTCTTAAATATCATCACAAATTCCTGTACATTTACAATATGTACTGTCTACTATCTTCCATTACTACAACTTCTCTACAACCCTACATTTTCCAATGCAACTTGTAAGATGAGCTCAATCGCGACAAACCCTTTCTTTCTAATATTAGGATCCACATCTGTCCCTTCAGAATCCCATCTCTGTGACCCTTTATTTAGCATTTATGCAAGCGATTTACCACGTGCTTGTAATAACTGTCACGTTTGTGTTGGGACTGGTTGAGACTTTCAGGTGGAAAACGTGCCCCTTCAAAGAAATGTTCCAACGTTTCCCAAGCTCCTCCAAGCTCCCTCAAGAGTCAAATGTCACTGTGATGTCTGTGTGTGCCCTACTGTTCGAGTTTATTTGAAACTTTTCTTATTGTCCAACCTGTCCTCCACCTTCTCGTCCTCCTCGCTTTCTGAACCCACTTTGAACTCGTACGTTCTTGTTTGATCACCGTGGTTTGAAGGTACTTGTCCTTCTTCTCTGTCCAGCGTCTACATTCTTGCAGTCCTCGTAAACTCGATCACATTACTCTTCCATTCCATTCTTCCTTGACATCCTTACATTGTTTAATTCTTCCTTTTCCTATGTGTTATTTTAATTTACCCCCCTGGTTTATATATTCTTTTTTAAACACACAGTTTCTTTGTCCTTTCCCCATGACACACTTTCGTTTTTTTCTCGTGTGCAGCATTGTGCCGTTGATCTTATGTTTGTGTTGGATTATGAGATAAGGATTAACCTGAGCTGGGTCGTAAAACTCATTCCGTGAAACCCAGCCATATTTCACCTTGCATCTATAAAGTGCAATGATTCTATTTTTGGCTTTTATAATACCTGCACTAGAGATAAAACTGGGGAAAGAATGCTTATGGCGACTTCGATTAAAAATGGCTGAATTGCAATCAATTTACTAGCAAAATTGACAAAGCTTTTTGCAATTTGATTAATGAATTGGAAGTAAAGGGTGCAAAATTTGATTTCAAGTAAAAATGGCTCAATTGCAATCAGTTTACTGGCAAAATTTTTGACAAAGCTTTTTGCAATTTGATTAATGGATTGGAAGTAAAGGGTGCAAAATTTGATTTCAAGTAAAAATAGCTCAATTGCAATCAGTTTACTGGCAAAATTTTTGACAAAGCTTTTCGCAATTTGATTAATGGATTGGAAGTAAAGGGTGCAAAATTTGATTTCAAGTAAAAATAGCTCAATTGCAATCAGTTTACTGGCAAAATTTTTGACAAAGCTTTTTGCAATTTGATTAATGAATTGGAAGTAAAGGGCGCAAAAATTTAATTTGATAAAAATGGCGTTTTGGTGAAGCTAAAAAGGTTGAGAAAAACGTGTAAAATTCGACGAGTTCCACGCTCGACATAATTATCTAATCAACTCTACAGCAGACGCGGTTTACGTTGCCCAAGTGCATTTTGCAATAATCTGCAATAAACGAACCTAGAAAAGTCGCCGTTTCGCAACGCACTTCTGCAACTGGTTACAAATTATAATCCCCGTGCCAAGTACGGGTTACTTTGGCGAGTTATGTCTGGGAAAAATAGAGAAACTCATTGAATAATAATCGGCTTATTTGAACGGATACATAATCATCCGTTTAGAAGATTTAAGAGATGTTCTTCCAATGGGGGGAACAGGTGGTTCGGTAAAAACCTCCAAGACTCGTTGGGTAACCTTTGCGCCGGTGGACATAATTTCTGTTTGCAGCAATTAACTTTTGTCTGGAATCCTTGGCTAGGAACAAGTTATCTCTCTAACGGTATTATTAGAAGGCTGTAACTTCACAAACGGTGTATAAGGTCATAATCAGTGGGTTTCAGTATTATTATTTAATTGCAATTGATTTTAATCTGGATTTATTTCACTTTTTCATTCTTTTTTTATTCAATTTTTATTAAGACTTTTTTTATTATGTAGTCAATTTTTTGTAAGTCTTATTTTGGAGTTTTTTGGGGACTCTGGAATTAAATGGGGATTCCCACTATGGAAATCATGGATATAAATTTTTCTATTCAATTTTGTAGGTTGGCAAATAAATTCACAAATAAAAATGGTATATTTGGTCGTAATTGGGGAATTTCAATATTATTATTTGGTGGTTAATTGATTTGTTATTTAGATTTCTTTGCCTCTGTGTAATTGTTTGATATTAGGATTGTTTTATTATGTAGCTAGTCAATTTTTTCTACTTCAGATTTTGGAGTTTTGGGGGGATACAAAATTGGGTGTTTACTATTCATAGATACAAATCTTTCTATTCAATTTTATGAAGAGGCAAATAAAGTCCCAAATAAAAATGGTATATTTGGTTGATATCAGTGAGTTTCACAATTATTATTTGGTTGTAATTAACCTCAATTTTATTAGAATTATTTTATTTTGTAGCTACTCAATTTTATCAATGGCATATTTTGGATTTTTGGGGGTTGAAATTAAATGGGGGTTCCCACTATTCAAATCATAGATCTACGTTTCTCTATTCAATTTTATAAAGAGGCAAATAAATTCCCAAATAATAATTTAACACAGTGGTAAAATATTTGTCAAATAAAATTCCTCCTCAAAGTGAAGGTTATCAAATTCTATTTTAATCTGGATTTGCAATTCTTATTGGGACTATTATCTTATTATGTAGCTACTCAACTTTGTCCTCATCCTACTTTGGAGTTTTAGGGGGGTACAAATAAGGTTTCTAGTACTGAAATCATAGATATAAATTTTTCTATTCAATTTTATAAAGAGGCAAATAAATTCCCAAATAATAATTTAACACAGTGGTAAAATATTTGTCAAATGAAATTCCTCCTCAAAGTGAAGGTCTTCAAATTCTATTTTAATCTGGATTTGCAATTCTTATTAGGACTATTATCTTATTATGTAGCTACTCAACTTTGTCCTCATCCTACTTTGGAGTTTTAGGGGGGGTACAAATAAGGTTTCTACTACTAAAATCATAGATAAAATTTTCCTATCCAATTTCATATAGCCAAATAAATCCCTACACTAAAAAAATAATTATTTAACACACCAGTAAAAATATTTATCAACTAAAATTCCTCCAAAAACAATAAAATAAAAATTGCCATTGCAAAAAGATCCCCATCCTCTCAAAAATCCCCCAAACATCAAATTCTCAAACCTAAAAATCGTCCATCTCGCAATTTCCACATTTCTATCCTGGATTCCCCGGAATCTAATCTCTCGCGACATCGTTCACAATCCTCCGCGTGTTTTTCCCCGAGATCGACCCACCTACGCCTCCAATTTCCGGGATCGCGACGCGCTACCGTTCACCAGCGACTCCACGATCTCGTTCATCGACAGTTTCCCCATTTATTCTTCGCCTTTTCGCTCCGTGTTCGTATCGTTCGCGGACGGGACCACCCAGAATCGAGACCAGGTACGCTAACGCGATAAGTAATCCCCCTGTTACGGCCGGATATATTGCCGATCGGATCGCGATATCTATTTGGAGAACGCCGGTAGAACCGTTCGCCGACGTTCACCGAAAAGTCAATCCGTGCCTTTCGCCCGTCGAGGTAGCCGCGATAAATTACTCCCGGCTGCGAAATCCGCGGGGCAGGTTGTCCCGGTACGGTCGTGCGCCGCGAAATTTACCGTCGTATTAGATTAATTAATTCGTAGGCAATAATTACCAGCGCGTGGCCGCGTCTTAAATCAACTCGCGGTTGGAAAAGTCGCGGGGGATTCCCCCCCTTCCGCACGCTGATTTATCGCCAGGCGGTTTATCGTTACGCGGGATATTTCCGCGACTATCTCTTTCGGTTGTAAACGGGACACGCCGGCTGCACACGCGAGCATTATTTATTGCCCGGCTAATGAAGTTAGCCATTATCTAATATCCCATCCAGCGTTTTCTTGTTCCTACGAGAAATCGCCGGCGGATCGAAACAGCCGGGACCCGGTGGCTTATGATTAATGGGTTAATAAGAAGGCGCGCGCGCGCGCGCGCGCGAGCCACCGGTCGGGCCCAGATGCAAGGCCCCGCCGCGACAGGTGTTAACGCGCCCGTTTCCCGCGCGTAATTAACGCGAAAAGGTTAATTGTAATACGCGACTAGTTGCGAGAATCAATATTTCGAGAAAAATTCTGTCGTAAAACAGACCCAATACCCGTGGGACTTGTTTACGTATTAAATAGGTGTTAATCGACTCGCTGATTCTCTGGCGCGGTTCTTGTTCTTGGGGGGGCCCAGAGTCTCTCCTTCGCTTTTTCGCGAAGAATTCAGATCTAATACCGGGTGTTTGTTTACGTATTAAATAAGTGTTAATGGACTCACCACCACATGGATCCTCTGCCTCGTTTCTTGTTCCTGGCGATTTCGGGGATGGAGGCGTTGATCGCCACCGCCAGGGCGCCGACGATCACCCAGAGCCTCATAGTTCCCGGTGCAAGGGGGGGGCGTCTCGAGTTCGAGTTATCGTCGTTTTTTGGGGCGAAACACCACACACCAATCCGTCACTCACCGGTCCAGCGGGGACATCACACGTTACTCGGCCGCGCACATAGCGAGGGTCGTCCGTCCGGTAGCGCACAACGAGGAACCGATTTTACGGCGTTCTAAATCATCCCGGGTACCGGGGGAATTCCCACGCGCAAGAAACGTATCCCGTCAGCTGTCAAAGCCCGGCCAGTTCCGATCGCAAGAACCGCAATGTCGACGGTCCGAGAATTGAGTGACTGTAGCTGGCGGCGAGACGTCGAGAGCCACACGGAAACTCACCCCCCGAAGGGCTTTTTTCGAGGGGTGGGTGTCACCCTTGGCGAATCGGTGGTGGGAGAGGCGCTGGCTACCTGGCAACCCTCCTCGATAATAATGGAGCTGGCCTCGACCCCCGAAATTCGGGGTCCACGGGGTTACCAGTTTTTCGTTTTAACTCGGGCCCGATGGTACGCGCGGCGACGCGTCCGGTAACAGTCGGTATCGTGATCCTCGCGCGCGCGATCGATCGGCGAACGAGCGTCGACCCGCGGACAGAACGCGCCCGAAGGGGAGCCCTCGTCGTTTCCTTTTCTCTCGGGGGGTACAGCGTCTTCGAGAACCAATACCCTTCGACGGACAAGTATAGGCCTCCGCTGGCGACTGCACGCGCTCGTCCGCGGAAGAGCCGATCTCTCTTCAGAGAGAGAGAACGGAAACCTTCTCCCCTCTACGCCCCCACCGGAATCCTCGTCTCGTCTCGTTTCTTTCTCCCCCCTCCCCCCAGAGTTTTCTGACTCGTTCTCCTTCCCACCCAACGGCTCTCCCGGTCTTCTCTGCCCTTTTCTCGTCCTCTCCACCCTTCCGTTTTCTTCGTTTCCCCTCGGATCGGCCTGGACCCCCCCAAGACAGATCGAATCTCGCCCCGCCCCACGGTCCAGCCTCTGCCCTTCCGTAGCTCTACGATCTACTTGTGGAGACCTGGATGTATCAACCGCGGCGCGTTTGTTTTGCTAGATCGTAGCTGGGAACAGAGACCTTGCCACCTTCTGACAGATAATCTCTTCTCTGCTCCTCACCGACGAGCACGTGGCTTTCAAGGGGAAACGGTGGGCGGGGCTCGCGGTGGCTACGCCCCCCGCCCGCCCCACCACTCGCCTCGTGGTCAGCGCGCAAGGAACTTTCGGTCGGAGGTCTCCCACCACGCGAGAACCTTCCCGGATATCTCCCACTCTCTCTGCCCCCTGTTACTTCTCTACCCGCCCCCTCCCTCCGACCGAGCCGCTCGCCTCTCGCCGGGCGCTCCGTCCTTGTCAGTTCCTCCCGGCGACTCCGGGAGCGTCCCTCTTCTCGCGTTCTCCTCTTTTTTCCGATTCATCCGTCGAGCGGGCTCCTTCCTCGTCGTCCGTCTCGCTCGACCGTTTCCGTCACCCTTCCTTCCCGACGTAGGGACGTCGCCGGAGAATGCGTGAATCGAAAGGCGGCGGTGCACACGCTGGACGCGGGCGCGCGCGCGCGAGCGTCCGTGTGGGAACCGCGGGCTCCGGAATGCGGGAGAGAAGCGGCCGTAGCCATGGAACCGCGCCGCCACCGACGTGCTTTTTCCCGATCCTACGCGCCCGAGCGTCCTTTCTTCCGGCGCGAATTCCGCCGCCAGACACTCTCTCGCGACGGAAAACGCGGAATTGACCACCTCGACCCTCCATCGATACCTTCACCCTTGCCACTTTGGGCGCCAACGAACCCTGAAAAATGATACTTTTGACGAAGTACTTGTTGCTAGTTCTTAGGGATACTTTTCTGGAAAATTTGGTTTCATCTTTTACAGTTACAATAGACTCTGTCTATGCATTAAACACCCATGAATATTTTGGGAAAATTCGTCGTCCATCAAAGATCGTTCCCATGAATGTTGGACCTATGAATATTTCCCCTAGATTCTAGGGGATTGTTTTGAGTAATATAGAGGGGAATTTTGGGGAGAAAACGAAAGTACGTGGGGCGTGGAGAGCCACGCGGCGAACGAGAAAGCGCAATTTACGGGCCGCCGGCAAAAAGGTCGGAGCGGCGAATATTCGGGAACGAGGTCAGGGAACAGTCGCGGGGGGAGCCATGGGCGAAGAGTTACGGAGATTGATCGGCGTAAATCGTCGCGGCGACGAGAGCGCGATTACGTTTTTGTCGGCGCGTGCCCCGTTCGGACCGCGCTGGAAACTCGAGCAGGGAAAGGAGACGAGGCTCGGCCGGGCGAAATCCCAGGCAATTATACGCGGGGAATGCCTCGTCCTTAGCTCGCGTAACCCTTCTGGTACCGGCGTTCTTTCGTTTCGCCCGGTGACGGCTCGAAATTGATCGCTCGACGACGCCGGCGAAATGACGCGGATGACGGAAAAAGCGCTCACCTTGGCCACTGTTCTGTATCACCTTCGTACGCGACTAAAAAAACGTCTAACCTCGCGTGCCTGCACGCCATATTGACTGTTATGCATTTCTACACGCGGGAAGTTTCGAAAGTTACGAAGTGCAATTGTCATTTAAAACAATCTAACAATGTTTATTTTGGATTTCAAGGGCCCAGAATATTGTTTTTAAGTACTAAATCTAAATATTTATAGCGATTAAGTAAAATAACTGATGCTTTAAGGGTCAATGATCGTTTTTATTTGTTCTTATTATTTTTCTTGCATCCCTGACCCTGGCGGCCATATTGGTCATTTCTGCATTGTTTCACGCAGGAAATTTCAAATTTAAAAACTGCAATTTGTATTCAAATCAATGTAACAGTGTTTATCTTAGATTTCAACGCCCGAAAATATTGTTTCGAATACTGATATTGAAAATTACCACCAATTAAGTAAAATGGCGGATGTTTTAAGGCCCCACGAACGTTTCTATCCACTTTTCTTTGTTGTATTTTACCCAGAATGTGTTCTCAAGAGTATGGAATGCAATCGTGGGGTTGTAAAAAGGCCGATTCGGTTTTAATCGCGACGTTATAGCCCCTGTTGGCTTGGGAGGTCTCCCGGTGGTTCCCCCGGTACGCGTTGAAACAATCACGCGTACGAATCACGGGCGAGTAAGTCGTTAGCTGGCACGATCGCCGTGAGCGTGGCCGTGGTTTCGCGTGACGGACAAATCCGTCGATTGCCCGCTCGAGTCGACACTTACGGTAACGACTTAATGCCGGTAACCACCGCGACTACGTACATATTCCCCGCGTTACGGTTCAAATTAGACGTCCAACGGCCCCCGGAGAACCTTCGCGCCTGGTAAATTACACTACTCCACAGAAAACACGTTTCTTTTTCCTCCGATGTTACCAGGCAACTCAAACAAATTTCACTCGAGTCGCAACAAATAGGTTTGAGTCATAACTTTAGAAGTAAATACTTTTTTCGTATTTAAAAGTTTGATTCAACCCTGCAATTTACCAGGACGTAGATCCAAGACAGTGTACGACGAAAATAAGCTTCTCGTGCGCAGATAAAAATAAGCGTACCGCCATAATCTCGGCGAGTGGATCTGGCGCGTGGCTTTTAGCGCAGATAACCCCATCGCGTACGAACAACCGGTAAATCAAGCCGGTTATCGGTTCCTCTACCGATTTAGAACGACGATTCGTAAGAAGGACGCGTTCGAGAAGTAACGGCGGTTTTCTGGACGAAAAAGAATCGGAAGCGGTCCGTAGCGCTTTGAGGGGGGGCCCCCGGGGTGGTGTCGTGGCGAGAAAGAAGGTGGGGCGGCGGATGGAAGAAGATGGTGGAGCAGGCGTGGTGTGCGGAGGTGAGGCGAGGCGAGTCGGAGAGCGAGATAGCTCGTAAATCTAAAGGCCCCGTGTTCGGAAGGAAGGAGGCCCTGAATAGGTGTAAATGAAGTTGCGGCCTCTGGCCCGCCGCAAACTCGACCGGACCACCCCGCATATTTTGTCTCCCGTGCGTGCTGGGGGCCCCCGGTACCCATCGGGCCCCGCGCCGTCTCGACTGCCGGCTACCACGCGCGGTGGGGCCCTACCTTTGACTTAGCGATAACAATGTCGCCCTGCTCGTTTCCTCTCTTCTCCGCCACCCTCGACGTATGGGGGGCCCCCCGAGACAATCCCGGAATCTTTAAGCGGGTAATCCGATTTCACGGGCAACCGTGCGCGCGTCAAATCGATTCCTATCGGGCCCCGCCGGAATGGCAAATCTCGCGATCTTGCAAATATCGCGCCCACGTTCCTGTGAAATGGTGCAAATCGTTTCATTTTGGATTCCTTGCTTTTTCAATATTTCAGTTATCGGGCAAATTGGGCCCATTTTCGGTGGAAATATTTGGAAGCTTATTTTGAAAGTTATAGAAACACTATTACACCAGATACTGGCTCATATATGTCTTGTAACTAGAATAAATGTGACTCATCAGGCCCATTGGGTCTTAGCTATTTTACATAAATTAGAAATACTTATAAACATACTTTACAAGTTATAGAAACACTATTACACAGTCACGAGCTTATACGTATCCCCTAAGTAGAATAGTCAGGCCCATTGGGTCTTATCGATTTTGTGTAAACTAGAAATATTTTTAACTTACAGAAACACCATTCTACTGTCACTGGCTCACATATATCCTCAGAAATTTCTTAATTTGAACGAAATTGGCTATTTTCAGATGCTTGACCATTCTTGGGCCCCACATTCGACGAATGAAATTAGCTATTAAAACCAGAAATATTCAACTACAAATAATATCCATGTCTATTAGCTGTGCAATGTATCTACGTCGATTTCTATTGGCGGAGTGGGTCAGTGAGGCCCCGATTCGCACTGGCGACACGATAAATCGACCCAGTCGACGGAGGCTCGCGAAACGGAGGTCTGCAGTGGCAGGTGGGCACGGAAGGATTCTTAGCAGCGGATCCTTTCGAAGGATGGATTAGCTTAATATAGGTTAACGTTCATCCTCATTAACTAACCGAATAAACCGAGGAGGTTTAACAAAGAGACGCAAGGTCCGTCGAGTACGAGGCCTCGTTTGTTTCGGATGATCCCTGCAGCTCCGTTCGCTTTCGTTTCGGGGGGACGGAAAGCCTTTCATCCTATTTCGAAGATTACTCTCGCGAAAGTTGCTCGTCCAGGATATCGGTGTACACGAATTACCCTGCGTTTGCGTCCATGAAACCGAGACCCTCGTAATTCGTGTCCAGTCGACGAGCTCTTGTTGTTTAGAATTCTAAAACCTTCGAGAATGCAAATCGATACTTATGCTAGGGATACGGTTCTAGTGATTTTCAGGTTGTTTAGGTTTTGTAAGCATTCAAGAGGAATTGTTGTGCATTCTTTTGAGGCACCACATTGTTATTTTGTGTATTATTTTTTATTATTAATTGTGTGTTTTTTACTTTGTTATTGCTTGTGACATCTATATATTTGTCCAAACATTGTTTATATATAAAATATATTTATAAAGACTTTTTAAGTCTTAAAATCTTTGGTAACTATATTTTTTTCAAATGAATTACTCAACCAAATTTCTTCAGACTTTGTCAACCTGTCCTGCATACAATCTTCTTTGAAATAGAATATTTATACAATTTTTTCAATATCCCA